GCCACCACCATCATTACCACCACTTCCATTGCTACCCAATACCACTATCCCTACCAACACAACCATCACTATCACATCCTTCTCCACCGCCACTGACGCCGCTATCATCTCCACCATCACCCTCATCTCATCTCAACCACCACCATCACCACCACCTCCTCCGCCTCCATCCCCGCCTCGACTCCGGAGAGCCGCCCCGAACTTCGCCCGACTTCTCCTTTTGTGCGCGCGGATAAAATCTGCGCTTGTTCCCGACCGTTCTTTGTCTACGCCCTTTTCGAGGAGCGGCGCGATATGTCGGCGCGTTACGGATGCTCGCGGAGGCCCGTCCGGCGCGCCCCCCCCCCCCCGCTTGCCACCTCCGCGGAGAAATCAAATGGTTGCGTTCCTCCGGCTCCGCGATGCCATCTGATGTATCTTTCTTTGTCTGCTTTTTCGGTTCTCGGAAGGAGAGTTGCACCGTGGGTGGGTTTGCTTTAGAATTTTTCGTTGTATGAAGTTTTTTTCTTCTTGTAAGCACATATCTGTGAATCTTTGTGCAGGAATTAAAAAATATATGTTGCTAGGGGTTGACAAATAAAAATGAACGGTGGGTAATACTTTCGTTTTTATTTCAATTTAGTAATTACATGGAGTTATTTCGAACTTTCCTTGATTTCAATTTTGCAGCTTCTTGGGATATCGTATCACCAGAATTTCTTTAATTAAATATCCATGTTATTGCCTAACATACTAATTGATACCATACGTTGGTAATAAATCCTCATTTTCCTGGAATGTTCATTTTTTCGCTTAATTCTTGCGTAGATTAGAAAAATAATTGTAAACTTGGGGCAAAACAATTCAGTTCTTGAAACCGTTGTAAGAATGTGTACGTGAGAATGTTGAATGTTTTGATTTTGACTTTTACTTACACTGCCCAGTTTTATAAATAGAATTAAATCACTAACACTAACAAATTTGGAGAAAGATGTTTTGAGTTGCTTTGTTTGGTTCTTGATTATGTTTTCAATTATTAAACCAATTATAATCAGATAATTTGTGAAATTTCTAAATGTAACCGCGTGAGTAGTCTAATCAAACATAAACGAACCTTCGGAGAGAGACATCTTCAAAAGCAACTGGCAGAACCTCTGCGCTTACATTGCACAAACGATAGACCTGTAGACAAGTTACAACAACAAAGTCCTACCACATGCAAAAAAATACAAAACTTTGAAAACCCTAAAAGGTTTGTTTTATGTCGTTCTTGTTCTCTAAAACTGAAAAAATAAGAAAGCATTACACATTCTGAAGCAACATAGTCACAATTTTTTAACAGAGAGTTAAACCTGTTTCTGAAAATGGAATTAATGTGTAAGTTTTCCTAGATCTGATCATGTATGTTATAGTGAACAATTGTAGGATATCCTGCTATCCACCATAACGTAAAAACGTAATGCATCACTTTATACAATAATTGTAATCACCGTAAAATTATCAAAAGTGAGTAAAAAGTCAGATGTGACAGACAATTCCCGAACACTGCGTTTAAGTATATACTCTTACTAAACTTTCCATTTAAAAATTGTCAATTTTTGAACTGAAAACACAATCTATCTTTACTTCGCCAACTTCACGTCATGTTTTAAAGATATCTTTGTAACGCATTGCAATTGATCTTTAAAATGACTTAAGGAACAAATGACGGCATATAAGCGTTTATACTTGAACTACGAATGTTACGATTTTATTAAAATTTCTTGTTTATATTTACCGCTAAATATAACACGACTTGGGGCCCTCAACTTGCCTTCAAAGCAAAAATAACGAAATTTGATGTAGTTGGAAGCTTTCATTGCTTTCTAAACACAATACCGGGTGGTTTCATAGAAACTACCACGAGTGTTTTTGGAAATTGACTCACGAAGCGAGGAGATGATTTATCTGAGAATTTCCAAACACTAGTGGTATTTAATAGGACTATTACACGAATTAAATTATGTCCAATAATGTTCAAAAAGCGGCAAATACTGAAAATAACTGAAAGCTATGTTACAATCAATGAGATTATGTTATCGTTCATAATTGCGGTTTACATAACAATACATAACACGCGGTTTCTTGGATATCGACAAAGTGACCAGCTTATGCCGCCTCCTAAGATAGACGAGTCACAGTTTATCATTGGCCTCGAGATAGAAGCGCAAGAAAAAATTGATAGAAAAAAAGATAAAATTTTTGTACCACTATAACTACCAACACCAGTACTACCACAACCACAACCACAACCACCACTACTACTACAACCATCACGGTCACATCTCTCTCCACCGCCGCCGCTATCATATCCACCATCAAACTCATCTCATCAATCATTTAGTGCTAGTGATTCACCGCCCTGATTGGGGCATTTCGTAGGTATAGTTAAACACTATTGGTTTTAGTTTCTTGAGTGGAATAGTCATAGGTAGTACCACGAGGGCTTTGGAAATTGGCGATAAATTCCCGTCTCACGAGGGGATTTATTTACAAATTTCTGAAGCACGAGTTGCAATTAATTGGACTAATCCACGAATGAAGTTGTGTAATCCAAAATGCTCCAAATACTAAAAGTGATTGAGAGCGTATGTTAAAAGCAGAGGATATTTTGTTGTACATACGCTGTTTATTGGACATCGACGTAGCGATAGATGCATAACGCCTCCTAAGATAGGTGAATCACAGTTAATGATTGGTCAGTGTGTAGAGGCCGAAAGAAAAATCGGAGAGAAAGAACGATAATCTTTCTGAAATACTCCGCCCTGATTGGGGCATTTCATAGGTACAGTTAAACCCTATTGGTTTTAGTTTTAAATTCACGAGTGGAAGAGTTGTGTGCCGCAGGAGAAAGCAGTGTGACGTGAGAGTGAGAGTGAGAGTGAGAGTGAGAGTGAGAGTGAGAGTGAGAGTGAGAGGGCGTGTTGGTGCGCAGGCGGAGCGGGGCGGCATCAGCATGGCGACGGTGACGACGGAGTCGCAGACGACGAGCCGGCTGACGGTGGCGCACGTGGGGCCGGCGGACGCGGGCAACTACACCTGCGCGCCGGGCAGCGGCATCGTCCCGCCACCGTCGCGCTCGTCGTCACCGACGGTGAGTGTGCGAGCCCCCACCCTACGAGGTGGCCAGGCGGCCCTCTTTCACACTTGATCTTAGTCACTCGAATCTCAGGACTGAAAGAAATGTTTGAGTATGATAGATGTATTATTGTTAATTATTATTATTATTATTATATTATTATTATTATTATTAATTATTATATTATTATTATTATTATTATTATTATTATTTTATTATTATTAATTATTATTATTATAAGGTGCTGTAACATGTTATTTGAATTATTGGAAGTTAAGAAAAGTTATATATAAAATTAGTATTTTAATTATGTAGTAATGATTGAGTTAAGATGTATATGTTCAGTTCTGAACGCCTTGGGGACTTTGGAATAGGCAACCCCCTAAACAAAACTGTTGTGCAGTGTAGCATCCACTCTGCGTGGAGGCGTCTTTTGTGCGTATCTTAACGCTACACTCAGAAAAGTGGTAAACGTTTCTTATATAGGTATCATTACATTATTTGAGGCAATGAAAGAAATTTTTGTAGAAGTACTGCAACCCTGATTTATCTGATACATGACACCAGTTTTTGTTAAGAAATTATTCAAATTCAAATTATTTTGTAATTTCCGTTTTTTGGTAACATTTTCTAAAGCGTTAACGATTCATTATCTTAAAAATAATGATTTACCGACTACTGATTTGATTAATTGCTTATTCATCTTTTCCCAAGTAAAATATTCATTACCTCTCTTTGTTTTTAATTTTAGGTTTCGTTCAGTCACTTAGGTTACCCTCTTACTTGGAAGGTAATTCTTACACGAAAACTCAGAACGCTTATGATGTTGCTAATGTTATTGTGTTTACACCATACAATACAGTTCTAATAAAGTTTATTTGTTATTCGACTCTAATAAGAACCAAAATGTCATGTAGTTAATGAAGTGAGGTATGCGAATTATTTGAGAATAATGACGTACACTATTTATCGTACACTCATGCATAATATTGCTCTGACATGATGTTTCAAGATCCTCTTGACCGCAGCAGCTGAGTTATAGTGTAATTCATTTGTACTTCTTTCTAGAAAAGAAGAATGTTACTATGTCATTGGGTTGCTGCTATGTGAAACCACATGGTACAGTAGGGAGAGTTAATTTATTTTTAGTGTTGGCGATATTTCCTCAAAGAGTAATTTCTTCTTAGTACGAGACTATATAATGTTATGAAATTATCTTTTTAATTCTGAAAATGTTCGATAATGTGTCAACCAATCCGTGATTTTATCGATTTCTTTATAATTTAGCATGTTTGTAGATCATTGTGCACTGCGGATCAACTATTTATTTCATTCTCCCATAAATAGCTCGATATGTTATATAACTAGATTATATAGATTAAAAGTGCATAAATTAGCTTTGGAACTGAGGCGTAGTATAAAAAAGTGCACTGCCTTGAAATAGTATAGTAGGAATGCGTATGCAAGTAAAAATATTATAGAGAGATTACTATAAGAAGGGACCGCTTACACACCTACTGTCTCACCACTGGCAACATAACTGTAGGTTATGACCAAATCCTCAATTTGTCAGTGCGTTCGTTTACAGTTATTCCATTTTTTATTGTCTTCATCACTATCTCTTGCAATACCAACACCCTATATGACATTCATTTATTTTCCGCCCTGTGAGACTAGTCCCTTTTTAAAGTAACTCTTCTATATCTTACAATGGTATATTAAATCCCAAACGTTTGCCATTCACCTGAAAACGTTTTGTAACATATCTGTCGGAAGCCTTTAGAAGAAGAGGGGGCGTGAATGCAAAGTGCAAAAGGCACATAGTGGAAGAACGGCCGGTAGCGAACAACCGTGCGTGTTTGCGTGTGTGCGTGTGTGCGCGTATGCGTGCAAATGGGCGGTGCACCGCCGCTTTCCCCCGGCGAAAAATCACGCCCGTAAATCAGAGCAATTCTAATATATCACGTCGGCCACTAGGTGTCGCTGGGAGCGCGTAGCTTCGTCCGACGCATCGTCTTTTCCACAACATCCCCTTCTGTTGCATTGAATTCGCAGAAGAATGCCGCAAATAACGTTTTAAATTCGAAAAAATGTTACAAAGATATTTGCTTCAGTTGCGAAAAACCAATGATATAAAGAATGCTCATTGGAGTCTTCAAGAATAGCCTTGTTGATTGGAAGCATGTGGAATGAAGAATCCCCTCAGGAGTTAGAGGGGGGTTGCCATCATTTAGACTTTCCATATAGTTTGATTGTCTTCCCAAAAATAAATAAGCTTCTACAATTCAATGAACTGTCATTGTGGTTTTGGGTCTTTGTATTGCACACTATACTCGCTTCATTTACTCTTATGAGTTATGTGATTAACCTTTTAGCTACGGAGTTTTTTCCTTCTGCACACCGTGCGGTACGGACTTTTTTAAATAGTCGAATTTGCTTTACCCCAGTGGAGGTTTAACTTCGGCGAGTGATGACAGCTACCCTCCCAGAGTTGAAAGTCCTTCTCGATTCAAATTTAAAGGGATTAACTAAGTACAAGTTTCTTCTGCAAAATAAAGTAATATTATTTTGGGCAATGATCCTCCTTTATATTTTTAGTACTTTTTTCATTCTTTACGCCACCCTCCCCGTCTGGACAACGTTGAATTTCATGTTAACAATATCTTTATAATTAAAATCTTAAGCAAAAGAAAACGAGACTGCAATCGCCCATGCGAAGCGTGGGCCGAAGCGGGTTTGTGTAGACTATGATGTGTGAAGGGAGGTGGTACACAGTGAAGCGTTACATATTAGTGAAAGGCACTAAAGAAAAAGGCGCACTAACAAAAGAGAAGCTTTGTTAGACTGAAGAGATATTTGTATAGTCCAGGAAAATGGTTTTAACAAAAACAATAAACTATTAAGACATTGCCAATAATACAAAACAATACATAACAAAATATAAAAACAATAAATTTATAGCTATGCTATAAACATGAGTTTACCCCATTGTTACCTCCTACTGGAAAAAAAATTGTTTCTGGCACAAATGAAATAATACCTAAAAAATTTATGTAACAAAATATGGCACAAATTAGTAGATGAAATAGAATATGACATGCGATACCCAAATTCCTTTATAAAAGAAAAACATAAATCACATATTCTGTTCTTAGTGTGATATGTCATATAATATTAATGATAATAATATTAAATATTATTATTATTATAATAATATTCGAATAAAGTCTCAAAGCGAAGGTTGATTGGCAATCAATATTCCCGTATGTCTCACGAGCTGCGGCGTACTGTAAAAGCAAGAAATATCGAAGCCTACGCTCGCTCTTCCTATCGCAAGACGGTACTCCATTAACACATCCCTGACAAATTGCGGAGCCCGGATGTCCGATGCGTGAGAATCAAAGCCCCGTGGCTTGACATCCGTCAGCAAGCGATAGATAAAAACCGACGCGCGCCTCTGGGGGTCAAGCCAAAAGTATACCGTTCGTACGGCTGCGTTGAAATGCTCTAGAAAACCTCTTTCCCATTCGTATTTAAAAGGTTCGAAAATAATACTCGGATTGACGTCTGCGTTAAAACATTGCAATTCCCGACAACAGTTGTACTTACATACGTGATGTCAGAAAAAAAACTACGGAATTAGGTTTTTTCCAATTTTTCCCTCATTTTCCGGAATTTGGCCTCATTTGGTTTAACGCGTATAATTTCTAAACTAATAGTCGGATTGACGCCTGCTTTGCGCCATTGAATTCCTCGTCGAGAGTTGTACTTACATACGTGATTTCAGAAAGAAACTACGAAATCAGGTTTATGTTTTTTCCCAATTTTTCCCTCATTTTCCCGGAATTTGGCTTCATTTGGTTTTCACGCGTATATTCCCTAATTAATAGTCGGACCTGACGTCTGCTTTGCAACCGCATTGAATTCCGCTCAGCGAGGTTGTACTTCAATACGTGATATTCAGAAAGAAACTACGAAATTATGGTTTTTTTCGCAATTTTCTCCTTCCATTTTCCGGGAATTTGGGTCTCATTTGGTTTAAGCGGTATAATGGTCTCTTAAACTAATAGTCGGTTGACGTCCTGCTTTGCACTACTGAATTCCTCGTCGAGAGTTGTACTTACATACGTGATTTTCAGAAATGAAACTACGAAATTATGGTTTTTTTCCCATTTTTCCCGTCATTTTCCGGCAATTGGCTTCTTTTCGTTTCACAAGCGTATAATCCTAAACTAATAGTCGGACATGGAGCTTCTGCTTTGCCACCATTTGAATTCTACGTCGAGAGTTGTATTTACAATCGTGGTTTTCAGAAAGATAACTACAAAATAGGTTTTTTTCCAATTTCCGCGCTCGCATTTACGCGGGAATTTGGCCCTTATTTGGTTTAACGGAGTATATTCCTAAACTAATAGTCGGATTGACGTGCCTGCGCTTTTGCACGCGATTAAAATTCCTCGTGAGAGTATGTAACTTACATACGTGATTTCTGAGAAGAAACTAACGAAAATTAAGGTTTATTCCAATTTTTTCCCTCATTTTTCCGGAATTTGGCTTCATTTCGTTCAAAGCGTAATAATTCCTAAACTAATAGTCGGATTGACGTCGTGCTTTGGCACATTGAATTCCTCGTGACGAGTGTGTGACTTACATAAACGTGATTTCAGAAAGAAACTACGAAATTAGTTTTTTCATATTTTTCCCTCATTTTCTCGGATTGGCCTCAATTCGTTTAAAGCGGTGATAATTCCTAAACTAATAGTCGAATTGGACGTCTGTGCTTTGCACGCATTGAATCCTCGTCGAGAGTTGTACTTACATAGCGGTGATTTCAGAAAAGAAAAACTACGAAAATTAGGTTTTTTCCAATTTTCCCTCATTTTTCGGAATTTGGCGCTCATTTGGTTTCACGCGAAATTCCTTAAATACTATAGTCGGATTGACGTCGTTCTTTGGCAACGCATTGAATTCGGCTCGTCGAAGTTGTACTTACTACGTGATTTCAGAAGAACTACAGAAATTAAGTGTTTTTCCAATTGTTTCCCTCATTTTTCCGGATTTGGCCTTATTTGGTTTACGCGTTAATTCCTAAATAAGTAGTCGGATGACGTTGTGCTTTTGGCACCATTGAATTTCCGGTCGTGGCGAGAGTTGTAACTTACATACGTGATTTCAGAAAGAAACTACGAAATTTAAGTTTTTTCAATTTTTTTCGCCTCATTTCCGGAATTTGGCCTATTTGGTTTTCACGCGTATAATTCTCGTAAACTAATAGTCGATTGACTGCTGTGCTTGTGCACCCATTGAATTCCTCGTTCGAGAGTTGTACTTACATACGTGATTTCAGGAAGAAATCTACGAAATTAGTTTTTTTCCGATTTTTCCCATCATTTCCGGAATTTGCCTGCTATTATGGTTTACGGTATATTTCGTAAACTTATAGTCCGGCATCGACGTGTGCTTTGCACCATTTGAATTCTCTCGTCGGAGAGTGTACTTACATAATACGTGACTTTCAGAAAGAAACTACGAAATTAGTTTTTTACCAATTTTTCCCTCAATTTTCCGGAGAATTTGGCTTATTTGTTTCAGCGCGTATATTATCCTAAAATTAATAGTCGGATTGACGTCTGCTTTGCACCATTAATTCCCTCGTCGAGGATTGTAACTTACATCGTGATTTTCATGAAAGAACTACGAAATTAGGTTTTTATCAGTTTTCCGCTGCATTTTGCCGGAATTGGGCCTCATTTCGTTATAAGCATATAATTACTAAACTAATAGTCGGATTGACGTGTGCTTTTGCACCATTGGGAATTCCTCGTCGAGAGTTTGTCTTCATACGTGATTTCAGAAAGAAACTACGAATATTAAGTGTTTTTTCTCAATTTTTCCCCTTTTTCCGTGAATTGCTCATTTCGTGTTTAAGTAAATTAAACTATAAATTAAGGTTTTT